CCCCAGGCAGTGTCCCCATTAGCTTCAGCTCCCACCAGCATACAGGATGGAATCTGGGAGAAGGGTGGTGAGAGTTACAAGAGAGAGGAGGAGGATATACGCCTAACCATCTTGTGAAAAAAGGGGAGAAATGGAATGGCTTGGTCTTCAAGGGACTTTCCTAAATAAAAGGATCACTGTTAAAATGTGGGATTTATTAACAGAACAAACCCCTTCGTAGCTGGGAGATTGAGGAGAATAAGAATAGTAACGTGGAGCTGCTGCAGAGGGATGCCGGTGAGGAATCTGAAGGCCCAGGGCACCATGAAATTAAGGAAATGCTTTCATTAAACAGGTTAATAAACTGATAGCCCTTGTTCAGAATCACCTGAGGATCTGGTTAAAGACGCAGATTCTGTTTCAGTAGGTCTGGGGTGGGGCTAGGAATCTGCATTTCTAATGGAGGTGGTACGGGCTACTCCCTGGGAGATGCTGTCCTGGGTGAAGGACAACAGACACCAGCTAGCTGAATCCCACCAGCCCATGGTCTCCTCCAGGGCACGGACTGTGTTTCATTCAACTTATGTCTCTCGAGCACGAAATCAGGCAAAGTCGCCCACGTGATAAACTTTATTTGAATGAATGTATCCATTAAAAATGAGTCTCCCCAGTTCTAGAGTTCAGCCAGAGGACAATTTACACAGTTTGAGAAGGAGAAATGTGTAGAGTAAGCGTCCACTTTAATAACTGTCCATTCCTGACTCCTCGGGGATGAAGGCACACACATCTATGCATTGGTTCCTGCCCCGTTTATGGCCATGGGTTGTTAATTGTACACTCTGCCTGCATCCTTCCACTGGCGTTCATAGTTCGTGACATTTAGTCATGCATATACAAATGTAAACAGCAGCATTTTCAGCATTTTACAAAGAAACTCTCTTAACAAAATAGTGCCGAGAAAAAGACTAACAGGTTTGCAGACTGAAAGTCTACTCTGCTTAATGAAAGTGTCAGCCACAGCCTCTGAGCACGGAATCGACCTTCTCATCCTTTGCACTCTGTTCTTTTCCCCGTTCCCCTCCACTCGAAAAGGCTATTGGCCAGGTCACCACTAGCTCTTAGCAACTGTCTTTCCTGGACTGTCCAGTAGACTCTATCCTTACCTTGGCTTTTTGGTAGTTTCGAGAAAGGTCTGAGCACCCTTTTGCTGATATTTTTCCTGTTTGGTGATCTTCTGCAGAGCTTCCCTTTTAAAAAGTTGGAGGTCTGGTGAGCTCTGTCTCAGGAAAGGCCACACTTTGGGTTGGCTCCCTTGCTGCCTGCGCTTGGGAGAGCATTTGAGACTCCTGTTTTGCTCTGCCAGGTCTAAAGTTTCAGGAGCTTGAGGTTCCACTGGGGTAGGAGAGGGGAAAGGTGAAAAGCAGGAGGGAAAAGGTGAGGCCTTTCCTTATTTTGAGTGTCTTTTGGCCTTTCAGGGTTTCTGAGAACATCCTTGCAGCCATTCCATCTGATAGGGTTGCTATACATAAGCTATAAATACATGTAGAGCACAACTGACTCATAGTGAATGCTCTGTAACTATTAGCAATTAATTTCATTACTATTTCTATTACTACACATACTTTTTTTTGTTTTAAACATTTTTCTTAAACTTTGGGTTAAGTTAGTCTGTTTTCTCAGAACCCTATTTTCCACTCATATTTCTAATAAAGGCTCCAGTTGCCATTTCTGATTACAACCTAAAATAATTATATAAAAACCACAAATTAAAGAGAAGTGAAGCGTTAAGCAACACATGATACAGACTGGCACTGCTTCCAGATTTTCCCTCAACACCCACCCAGGAGGTGGACAATCTGGGTTTTAGTCACTGCTCTGCACTTTCTCATCACACGACTCTGGGGAACTCACTGCCCTTCTCCAGGTATCGATTAATCAGTTTTCTGTTCGTAACTTGAGAAGCAAACTGAATTCTCCTGGTCCTTTAGCTTTGACATGTCATAGTCCCGAATTCAACCTGTCTTAGAAGGTGCTGACTAATATAAGCAGGCACTACTTTTTCTCTTCCCTCCTCCGTGGAGGAGCCCTGCTCCTTCCTGCAGCATCTTTACCAACCTCCTCCCTCACAGGTCCCTGGGCATGTGCTGGGCAGAGGAAGACAGTTTCTGTCTATGGTCCTTCTTTGTGAATTACATCCCTGCACCTTTGCAGCCCCTCCCCCAATGAACTTGTAGGTGAAGGAGCTGAAGGCACAATTGGAGATGGCCAAAAGGTCACTACCCTGATTTCTGCCTCTCTCCCTGAAAACCTCCTTTGAGGGCCTGCCTTGCTGACAGCTGATAAACACAATGGTCACTTTTCTCATAACTAGTTACAAAAACCAGATTACAATTCATGGTTCCATCCTTCCAGCTAGGAACTGGGCTGTGTTCTGCGTTACTGCAAGTCTTGCAGAATGCTTGCTATTAAAATCAAGGTCATATCGAATCAGAAATTTAAAAAAAATTCCTCGGATATAAATTTTTTTGAAAAGTGTGGATGTTACGTATATAGCTTAAATATCCTTGAGGGAAAAAAGCAGGCCAACACCAAGAACTCCCGCAACATGAGTGAGGCAGTTTCCTGCCAGTTGGAAGCCTGAGGGGAACAGGCAGCCACATTTCTCCTTTTTTTGTAGCGAGTTTGGCTGCTACCAGTTTGCTTCTGGTATTGAATTGAGAGGTGCTCCTGGAGGAGACCTAAGACTGTCCTCAAAGACCCAAACTGGATAAGAGCCAGATCAGCTTGTTTTGGAAGACCCATGGCTGGGTTGTCTCTAGGACCGCCACCCTTACTAGTTTTAGGAAAAGAGAAACCTCCTAGGTCAGCTGGAACTGCCAAGAGCCCAGACCTGGACAGCCAGCTTGGTCCCCCCACCCCAGGCTGTCCTGGTCTCAGGGAAGCAGCAGACAGACAAGATGGGTGACAGAGAAAGCACTGCCAAATGGGGGTGCCTGCAACCTGGGGAGGGACTACCCTCTGCAGCCAGGTGGGGAATAAATGCACGTTCATGCAGCATCCATTGGAAAAGAGCCTACATGATTAGTATCTTGGGAATGTTTTTCCCATAGTAGCCACTGCTTTATCACTTTTTTATTCAATGAAAAGTAATACCGCTGAAATGATTTTTTAACTGAAACTTCTGTTGATAGAAAAATTCTAAAGATTTTATTATGCTCTCAAAAAAAAAAAAAAAAGGCACTCGCAAGTCTATTTAGGAAGCATGGACAAGAAAAGGTAACAGAATTTTCAAAGATTTAATCAGATAAATTCCCTACATCATAAGCTCGTTTGATATGAATCCTCTACATGTCCGAGGAGAGTCTGCAGAGACCTACTGTGCTACGCTGGTGAGGAGGCACCTGGGAAGATGTGCTGGCTGAATTCCCCACACCTTGCTTTTCACACCCATCACACTACCTGGCCTGGAACCAACTGGGGGCAGATGAGCTCAAAGCCCACAGTTTAGCCAGATATAAAATGCTGTACCTGCTCTTCCTCCTCCCTGAACATCTCGCAGCCTTTTCCCGTCCACCCAACTCATCAGCACAGCACGCTGGTCAACAGCAACATTTCCAGAACAAACAAGAAAATCACATCAATTTTAAGGAACAGGCTTTACCTTAAGGTCCTCTTAAAGGGTGTTTTTCTTTATTTGTAATAACTTGTTGTCTCTTTTCCATGACAATTTGTCATTTTCATCAAACAACTTAAACTGGACTCAAAACCCAGAGCACTGATCTCTAGCTGTGTGAAGGTGGCACCGATTTTGGCAGCATCTTTAAAACCATCTGAAAGAGCTCCTGCTGGCACACACTACTGGTCACTTCTCAGTGGAAAAGGATCGCAGGGACAGGTTCCACTATACAATGCTGGAACCGGGCCTCCAATACTGCATTTTCCCCGTCATCACTTCTCTGCTGCTGCTGTGACCTGACACTGTGCATTCACCGCCAGCAACTTGGAGACGGCTCCTTGATATAACCAGGGGAAGCTTTCCCGACCCACCTGTTTAAACCACTGGCTCACCACCTACGTGGGGTACTGCTTACCTATACACACTCAGGAGTGTTCTTTAAAAGAACACTTCTTTTTTGCTCCAAAAAAGTGAGCTCTTAGCACAATCATCTTCTTTCTAGAAAGCAGTGCTCATAGTCTTTTGTTGAGAGAGATCAGAATGAACTCATACATACTTCACAGGCTCTTCTATGAGGAAGAGATCAAAGCTAACCAAAGAAGGCTGTTTTTATGCCAGAAAAAGTGTTTCATAATCCTGAACTTCCTGTTGCACCCAATTAGGCTATGCAATTACTTTCTGATTGTTGGCTTATCCTAAACATCAACCTCTACTGACAAGTTAATCTATAACAGGAAATTCAACAGACAGAGTGTAGTCCACATTACACTATCTTTATTAGATATATTTAGTTCTAACCAAGGTTTACGTAAAGCCCAGTGACTCCCCATCCATACAGTTGGTATGGCCAATTTGGTTTATACATTTTGATACTATGGGTGGAAAGGAAAGTTACAGATAGTCGAATTGTGCTTGAATTTTTGCTGAAACCTTCATTATGAAAATTAGTAATTTCTAAATTGAAGAATGATCAGGATAAAAAGGAACTAAAATGAAATATAAATCTAGATGTGTTTGGAGATTATAATCCTGACCTTTATCCCATGTCATAAACATGGGTTGGAACTTGCATGTTTTTCCACCGAGCACATCTCATAAGGATTCATTGCTGCACAAAACTAAGCTGTAAGTAATATCTCAGGGCCTTATGAAACATCAATAATTATGATTTGTTTCTATCATAAAATAATCTAGCAATACTGACACAGGTCTTAAATGCTACAAGAAGAAATGGAATATAACATAATGAAATGTAATGAGCACTCTGTCTTCTAAACCTACTTGTGATATTCTTTCCTGTCACCTTATAAACTACATTAGGAACCCCCGGAGACAGGGCAAGACACTGTAGGAATATGTTTGATATATAGTTGGATTAAATAACAACCTAATATATCAAACATATCACACAGAGGCCTGCAGAAAAGGCATCCAGGTCTGACTGAGCTCGAGAACAGGCACAGTATTGCAGGCCACAGTGCAGGGGGCGCTGGCCCCGCAGCGACTCTACCTGTCTGTGGAGCGCAGTCTGCAAGTGCGGAGACGGCCCGTCAGCGATATCGTAGGCACAGGCACCAGAGCTCACCCACAGGCTCATTCTGCCTTTATACCATCTTCCCAAGCACACGGCGGATTCCACAGTGCCATTTTGTTTGTTACGCATGTCTGGGAGATTCCAGGCAAAAAGTGGTGCTTAAATTTTAAGGGCCTAAGGTGGGAATATACCAGGAATCATCTTCACAAACCATGGACCATTCTCCTTCTAAAACAGGCAACCTGAGAATGTGCAGAGCAAAACAATTTAAACAAAAGCATTGCCCATCCCCAAAACTTCCTCCAAGCAGTGCAAATGCTGCCTCGTTATGGAAGGAAAGCATATTCGCTCTACATCGAGGGCCCGTGTGTTTGTGCGTAGAGTTATGGGGACGGGGATGTAATAGCAACTGCTTATTCACAGTATCCTGGGGATTTTTGCTTAATTAATTAATTAACTTATGGAAGGGGAGGGAGAGATTCCCAGTAACCTCAAAAGACTGGCTGATTTTGGTGTTAGATTGGGATTTTTTTTTTTTTTTGCTGCGGAAATAAATTCCTTTATAAAAGCAAGAAAGATATTTTATTTCATGCAGATATTACCACAAAGCAAATGGCACTCCTAGACAGGCACAAAAATTGTGGTTTGGGTTGATGGCTTCTTCAAAACACTTTTATAGATAATATAAACCATATGGTGGGAACATCTGGTCATTGGGTAGAGTAAGAATTCAGATCCTTCTAAAAACCATACTTCACTCTAGAAGTACCGAGCACCCTTCCTAATACGAAGATGGGAGTGACCTCAAATAAGTACCCCAAGGAAGGGCTCAAATCAACAGATACATCAACTTTGACCTTGACCGAAAGATGCCTTGGCTTTCTGTAAAAACCCACACTGTAAATACAAAGGCTAGAGGACTGAGCGCAGTGTAGGGACTGCCTGCCGGCCCACTTCAGGAGTCATCACTAATTTTTCAAGTGCTGTTATTTTTCAAACATTATTTTATAAAATTTTAAGACACAGACTCTCCCATTACCCCAATTCCACCATCATTCTTATATATTGCCACCTGTCTCTTTCATATGAGAGTGTTTTTTAAAGAGGTATAAATACAAGTTCATAATTCTGCTTTTTTTCTTTTTTACTTTACATTGTCCCAAGAGCATCTTCTTCATGCTGCACAGTCCTATCAACCATTATTTTTAATAGCTGTGTACTTTTCCTTTAAGGAGACACTGAGGTCATGTGCAACTTCTTGCTATTACAAACGAGGCTGCAAGGGACAACCTTCTCACATGCACAGAACTTTCTTCCCGTCTGGAGTTCCTCCTCGGGACAGATTCCTAGAGGTGGAATTAATGGCTCAAAGGGTATAGGCAAACCAAAAACTTCCCCTGTGGGACTGCACCAGCCTGATACCAGGTGGGCCCAAAGGACTGGAATGGACTGAAACTGCCACTCAGAGCCCACGCACACTGCTTCCAGCTCAGTCGTGGCCATCTGACCCTGGAGAGGTCATTTGCCTCTGATTCTGCATTGGCAGAGCAGGCGTGATAACAGTGCTGCATCATGGACTTGTTGCAACGACCAGATGCGTTAATCTACCTAAAGCATCAGAGGACTGCCCGGCAGATGCTCAGCACTCAATGTGAGCTTTTTGCTTTTCTTTTTTTTTTTTCTTTTTGCTAAGGCCATCAGCTCACGATCTATGGAATAATTTTTATTTCAGGCGTTTTCCTAGGTGTAGCAGATAAAAGTCCTAGAAACATAGTTTTGGTGATGGTGATATAGTTACTGCTTACTAAGTCTTATTGTATGTCAGGGACTGTGTTCTTAAATCATCTCATTTAATTTTTAACAACAATCCTATGGAGTAGGAACTCTGATAACTTTGTTTTTCAGATCAAGAATCATGAGGTAAATAAGTGGCTGGACAGAGGGAAACTGGGATTCAGAGATAAACAGAGCTCAGAAGGACCCTGCAAAGGACAAGGGGAAAGGCCTTGGACCAGAAGCGCCTAGAACACGGTGAAGTGTTCATGTTAACTTAGCCCCAGGCTACTTTTCCAGGAGAAAGAGGGTCAGCTGAAATGACTTCAGCATTAGCAGACAGCAGCGTTTACAAGAAAGCTACTTGTGGTAAATCAGATACAGAAAAGGAAAAGCAAATTAAGCACAAAGCCTCTACCTCTCAGTCAATGGATGCTTGTTTCTTAGTTGAAAGTACACTTTCCATTCACGTCTAACTTGATTTATAATGCAGACACAAAGACATAACCAGAAAACGGAGTTGCCCCTATACCCACACTTGGCTCTTAAGTTTGTTAAGAAAAACTCAAACAGTCTCAGACAACCTAAGAACCTCAGGTTAGAGGCCAGTAGAGAGGACCGTGGTAACCCCAAACATCAGAAGCCAAAACTCCTAAATTACGTCTTCATGAGAAATTTTTAAAATGCCTTTACCAAGTCCAGAATGATCAGTAGGAGATTGGGTCTAAGAATTCTGTGGTTTAAAGAATATTCCCAAGCTGAATAGATTCACTACCTGCTCATGTCTATTTTACGTACAACGGTGGTCCAGGCACTGCTTTTGGGTGGTCTGCTGTATTCCTATGCTCATACCCTATCCTTTGGTCTTATAAAAAAGGGTAGAATTTTAGGATATCTAAACTGAGGGATCCAACTTTTTTTGAGGGTAAGAGCCAGATTTTACTTCCTAATGCATTTCGGTCCTTGGAAGGGAGGTGAGGATACAGGTACCAGCAGGGACTTGCCCAAATAGAAAGAAAAAGAGCCTTCTCTGGTTCCACCATATCCCCACTGAAGACAGCCATGGGGGCAGGGCGGGTGGTTACAGCTTCTTAACAGCGCTGGACTTTGTCCCCGGCTAGCACCAGCTCATTGGCCTCCCTACTGCCCAATCTTAAAGTCTCTCTTTCCTTTAAATCTTAAACTTTCTCTTAACATGTACTCATGATCTTAAGTTCTAAACATTTATCTAGATGACAAACATAGAAGGAGAAAACATACCAGCCAACCAGTCTCCAGCATATACTGAAAAAGTCTGTTATTGGGTCCACTTTTGAGGCTTACATTGCCCTCTCTTGCTTTTAAGAAAAGGAGAGACCCAATATTGCTCTTTCTCTACAAACACCATTATGGAAACCAGAAAATTGGAGGGTGACAGTCTCACGTTCAGTAACAGGGACTTTCTGTAGGAAGCATCCAACACCTGCTTTATATATAATGGAACTAAATCAAGATTGTAAATGCCCAGATTCTTCCTCCGGATATCTATTTTTCTCGGTGGTTAACTTGAACAGCCATGGGCTTTTTACATATCCTGCAAAAAGGTGCTGGGCAGGTAGAGCCGGTTTGCAGCTTGCTAGTCTAACCGCAGGGAAGGAGACCAGCTCCCTGCAGCACACCTAGCTCCATCTCACAGCCAGCCACTGGAAGACCTATTGACATCAGACAAGCAGCCACACATGGACACTCACTTTTGGTTTTGCTCTTGGCTTCAGTTGCTCTAACTTCTTAGCAGCAGCCTCAATGGATGCTGCAGCCCCCAGTAATTCTGTTTCTGCAATGACGGTTGGGTCTTCTGGATCCACCCACTCTGTTCCTAAAAGCAGTCCAAAAAGGGTCATTCTTGGTAGCTGCAGATCGCAGGGCACTGGGTTAATTACAAATAATTTATCTGGATTTACATGCAAGGAAGCTCCATAAGCCTACTGGCTGCATTGTCCTAAGGAGTCTTCTCTCTAGCTCTCACAGAGATCAGCTGAGCACAATGAGGGCTCCTGTCTGCTCCTGGTTTTCTAAATCAGTTGTGTGTAAGTACAGCCCTACCACAGGAGCACTCATCAATGATAGTTTAAAAACTCAAGATCTCAGGGACCAAGGCCAGCTTGAGCCTCACCCTGACTATAACTTAAAGCTCACAAATGCAAGGAAGCATCCTCAGGAGACTTGAGACCATGCTGACCACACAGAGACTTGCCATTCTCTTCTCCTGGGAACTCACGAGGAGCAGCCTCATCCCAGAGGGAAGGTGGTGAGAAAACCCGTCTCTGTGAGTCATTGCCTCCATGTAACCATGAAGGGGTGTGCAAGCAATGGACTCAGCACCGTGTTCTAAACATGAGGTGTATTATTAGAATGAAAATAAATATTCTCATGTAGGAAATGCAGATAAAAATAAAGGGTGAAACCGTTAAAATAGAAGTGAGCAGTTCTAGACGGATTATGCCATTTAAGTAGATGTGCTTAATACAAAGATCGGAGGAGAGACTTGCTTCAGGAGGCTGTTGCTTTTTAAATCTAACTCTATTCCCATTTGCTTCACAAGAGAATACTTCTCGGTATTCCTTCTGACTGCATCTGCCAAGAAAAGGCCTGTGTTAGCCGTGTGTCCTCTCTGCTCAGTTCGTTGTACTGGCACTGCCTCGGAGTGGTGCCCCACAAGATGACCTGAGAATCCAGCCTACCTTTCATGGCTTCCGCTGCCTGGATGAGCTCAGTCACAGCGCCGGCAACTCGCTTGGAGAAAGCAGCCAGCTGGTGCTTGAGTTCTGGGGTTGGTTTCTGAAGAATCTATGGGTGAAGAACAAGTCAAACACGTAAGGAAGATGGTAGCCATTGTGACAGAGAACACTCTTACTGATGGACGCAGAGGTGGATATCCTGGTTTTAAGCTGTAACTCTGTCATCGAGTGACTTCAGAAACTTTGGGAAAATCATGGAAGACTCATTGGTCTTCAGTTTTCTCACGTGAGAAATGAAAAGTTGGGAACCAGGGGTTTCTCTAAGCTCCCTTCTGACTTCTTTCCCTAAGATCATAAGGGAGACTAAGTCCTTATTTGTCTTTTATTT